TAATTATGTCCCCACTGGATGCAACAAATGCCTCGTTTGTAATGGGTTTTAATGCTTTTGTCTCCTTGCTCCGGCCGGGACACGGCATCAACAGTATGTGAGGGGCGTAACATTACCGTCTCACGCTTGAGGTATTCAGCCAATCACAACGCATTGGATAGCTGGCCAATCACAGCACACCTCGCTTTTCAGACCGATGAGCTTTGTAAAAATCGACGTGTTTCAAAAAGGCGGGGCATAGAGGAGAAACAATAATGTACAGTATGTGGAAAATAATGTTTTTTTTACTTTAAACCGCATAAACACATTTCATTACACCAAGTACACAAAATAATGTTCTTTTTAGCAGCATCATATGACCCCTTTAAGTCAGTTTTTGCCTGAAACAAGCAAAATAATATGCCAATGGGGTAAGCAAAATAATCTTGTTTTCTGTTTGAAATAAGATTATTTTGCTTACCCTATTGGCAGATTATTTTGCTTGTTCTAAGCAAAAACTCACTTAATTTTTACTTGTTTTTTCTGAAAACAAGACAATAATTTGTACGTGTCTAGAAAATCCTTCTTGATTTAAGAATGTTTTGATATTTTGGCTGAAAACAAGACAAAAAAACTAGGTAAGAAAATCATTTTTTGCAGTGCACACACGGGAAGGGCTTGAATGAAGCCCTTTGGCTCTAGATAAAAAAATATATATATTAGAGGATATAACACCGAAAGATCATTACAATAAACGACCTTGAGCGCTTGTGATGTGAATAGCTCAGTTGATTTGAAGCACTGCTCACTTTATTTAGAAATGGTAAAATGATGCTGCCGTTGCCATTATGTCAAGCGGTCCGGTTGAAACCAAGCAGAGGTCCGGACCCAGACCGCGCAGTCCGCCATTTGAATATGAAGTGAAATATGAAATTGGTATATGATGAACCTAATCGTTCAGTACCATTGTGGCCATTTGTGATGATTAAACACAATGATATATACAGTATTACTGTTCAAAGTTTTGTGGTCAGCAAGATTTTTTAATGTTATAGTCTCTTGTCTCTAAAAATACAGTAAATACAATAATATTGTAAACTATTATTACAATATAAAATAAATGTTTTCTATTTTAGTATATTTTAAAATGTCATGTCAAGTCAAGTCACCTTTATTTATATAGCGCTTTTAACAGTCACATGATCCTTCAGAAATCATTCTAATATGCTGATTTGGTGCTTAAGAATAATTTCTTATTTTTATCAGTGTTGAAAACAGTTATTGCTTAGTATTTCTGTGAAAACTGTGATTTTTTTCAGGACTCTGTGATAAATCGAAAGTTCAAAAGAACTACATTTATTTGATATACAAATCTTTTGTAACATTATAAATGTCTTTATTATTAACTTTTGATAAATGTAATGCATTCTTGCTCAATAAAATAACATAGTAACATAACTTCTGAACTGGATCCTACAGACATTATTTCCCTGCAAATTAAAGGCATAGCCAGACAGCACATATCTTACCATAACCCCACAGCTGCAGGCACTGCTGTTCATGGGTCAGACACATGCCATTATAGCAGTAGGCATGGCCATGCTGACACGATGACCCGTCCAGGAGGTAAACATTAGAGGGGCAGTAGGGAGAACCTCCCGTGCAGTATTCCGGCAGATCACAGGCACCGGCTGCTCCACGGCACATGGTGCCGGCCTGCTTCAGCTGTGGGCAGAGGGCATGGTAAGGAGACTGAAGGATTTTGATGAAAGAAAAAGAGAGCAGTTGGTGGGCAAACTACAGAGAAAAAGTGGATATTAAACTATGGCGGCCTGGTGCATCTCTAGAAAGCAAAAACACAGACAAGGCCTTCACTAGCAACTATTTTAAGCAACACATAAAATAAATAAATACAGTAACACTTTACAATTTACAATAAGGAGATGGCATCAGTTAATGCATTAACTAACACTAATTAACAATGAGCAATATATTTGTTACAGTATTCATTCATCTTTGTTAAAGGGGTCATATGATGCGATTTCAAGTTCCCTTTCATGGGAACTTCGAACTGCGTCCTCTAGGGGTCGCTATGGGGAACGCCTCATCGTGAC